GAACGAGCCAGTAAGCGATATTGGGATATTGTACTAATATCTAGTTTTCATATCTGATACGATTTGTATCGCCCACTTCTACTTCATATAGGTTGCCATGGTAACACCGTGAAGTTGGTCGCTTTTCATCATGTCACTTTTTGACTGTCGGTGCGGTGTAAGCGCGTATCTGAAACTGTGTAGTTTGTGCCTGCTCGTTCCTTTAGAAGAGCGCTCTGAACTAGTTCATTTCGGACAGTGAACTAATTCATGCTTATAGTTCAATTAGCTTTTTTCGGTCTTCGGATTTGGTCAGATAGATCTAGAATCTATGATAAAGATACGACATATTGTGTCACTATGGTGATAAATAAACTTAAGAGTCTAAAGCCTTAGGATTATCAAATATCATACTGAATCTTAGTCTGTGTAATGAATAATATAAATATAATGAAAATTCAAAAGTTTAGAATGTACACAAGTTTGTATGTTATTCAGCCGATTTATAACATCGGAGTCATCGACATTAAAACCAGCGATACAATATACGATAAAGCGACAAAGTCACTCGTACATAAACACACACACTTAATATGGATCAAAATATTAGTCCATACTTTACAGCGATGAGTTGATCAAGAAACAAAACAATAAAATAAGAATAATGTTAGTTACAGAAACTTTCTATAAGCATCCATAGCATGCGAAAATAAAAAAGTTTACAAAACTACAATGAGTATTTAAAAAGTACAAACACCACTACACAGCGTGTCGTTACAACCGCAACAATAAATGAACACACGTCTAACGCTACTTGCCGATAATCATAAAAAATATTAACGTTAAAACAAATCCATAATTAAAAAAAAATATTTTTCAAACAAACTAATTAATCCTATGCATTTTTCATTCATTGACATAGCATCGCATTACAAGCCTCTCCTTCTAACAGTGTAACTTTACGTTACAGTTTTATACGTAAGGGTGTTCTGAAATTGTTTGTTTTGCAAAATTTAATTACTCAGTAAATATTAATGTTTAAAGAATGTAAATGATTAATACAATTTTAAAAGGTTACCTCTATAAGTGTGTTCATTTATTGTCGTGATTGTAAAGACACGCTGTATATGAACTATCTTACAAAATTTGACTTGTTAGATAATAATAGTAATTTACCTATTTCCTATAAAAGACCGAGCAGGCACAAGACTACTATGCTTTGAACTATATTATAAACGGGTAAAATTAGGTTCAGGGCTGTCAACTTTGAGGTTTTCCCCCAAAATTTAGAAGGTAAACTAAAGTGTTGGTATTTTTTTTTGGCGAGTTATATTTTTGGGATTTTTTGAATTCTTATATTTTTTCCCACGTTTTATTTCTTGTTATTTTCTTTGATTAAGAAAATAAAGGTATAAAATTATGGGGTCTGAAGTATCGTAATCTACCCAATCATATTTATTTGTTGAGCTAGCGACATCTTATACGGTTTTTCATTACTAAGTATGCGGAGTTGAACTGGCATCTAAAGTCCATAAAAACTCATTCAATAGCGGCAGCGTACGATAAATTTTAAGCCCGATTTACACTGGTCAAGTTTTAAGTAAAGTAGAGATGTATAGTAGTGAAAACCTTTGGACATTGGCGAGTCAAATTATCTTGCAAGCTGCCTTGCAATTATATCCAAATAGAATCGTTTTCCATTTTTTGGTACCCATCACGTACCCGTTTAACCCCTGCGGGGCACATAAATCCTCACTTGCCGTGGTGTAAACAGTGGCCGGCAAAAGATAACTAAATTAACATATTTTTAGACGTTGCTGGCCCAGTTCGACAGAGAAATGCCACTGTACTTGCTGTAATGTAAACACCCACTTGTCCGGTGCCCGCCTCTAGCCACTGTAATTGTACCTGATACTCGTCACTGTCCTTGGCCAATGTAAAAACGTGTCTTATATAAGCACCAAAAGTAATTGAATTTTTTATCATTCATTATGAATCACATTTGGAATGGTGGAAACAATATTGGTCATCTAAAGTAATCCTAGGAGACAATTTTTTATAAAATTAAATTTCATACAATTTTTGTTTAAACACTTTATAAGACCAAAATTTTTGCTGGAATATTTTTCACTGTATTATTCCATTTATGTGAAAACTAAGGCAAAAAGTTTGTGCTTATTATTATTTATATTTTTTAATGTTACTTTATTTGGGGGTTTTAGACTTAAACTTTAGGGAAAAATATTTTCGAGAGGTAACACTGAAGAGGTTGTCAATTTGACGTTTCACGGTTTAAGTTTCAGATTTGTTTAAATATTAATCATAGTTAATTGATTGACTCAAACATTAATAAAAATATTTGTATATACTTAGATAAAATAGTCTAAAAGTATTGTGATAGCCTCTTTAATTACTTGAGTTATGAATAACAGAGATTCTTTAAAACAATATGCTGATTCCATCAAAAGGCTTAAGAGAGAATGTATTAGTAAAGGCATGAGTGAAAAAGAATTTAAAAAACTATATTTCGACTCCCTAAAGACAATAGAAAATACTGACGCTGAAAATTCAATTAATACTCAAACTTTTTATAGAGAAAAGAAACTCCTATTCTCTGTAATTCTAATCATATTTACTTTTTTTATAATTAAGTATATGTACAATAATGCTTTATGTAACATAGAAGAGTTGATATATCCAGGACTTAGACTGATAAGAAAAATATCTATTCCATTTATATCACTCTTTCCAACATTAACTGGTTTGTAATTTTGCTTCTTTAAAATATTAAATATATATGTAATATTGCTAATAGAAAAGAAAAAATTATAAAACAAATATATTAAAATGTTTTAGAGTTATATCAGGAGCCATGCTTAATACAGAATCCTTTTTTCACTATTATGGATATGGAATGTTGGCCTTGCAGTACAATTAACAATGTTGGCACAAATTATGATCCCCAACCAATTCACCAACAACATGTTGCTCCCTTTATTTATGAGGTATTGTGCACATTTATTTTACTATACCATACCGGGTGATTACATGAGTAATTAACAAGCAATTATGTATATCGTCAGCAAATTTAAAGCATAGTGGTTTGCACCTATAATTGAGATAGCACTCACCAAACTTGTTGTTAATACCATTACCAATAAATTGTCTAAATTTAGTGTTCATCTTGTTGGTGTAACAAAAATAAATAAATAAAGCACCATCTTGATCATAAGGGCACATGGGGCCCGTGCCCAGGGACATTTTTTGCCAAATTTGACACAAAAATGAAGGTAACAGAGACTATACACAAAATATTGACATGACCCAGGCTAATTGTCTAAGTGGTTAAAATGTATTTAAAGGAGAAAAATTGTCTAAATCAGATCATGTATTTAATGTCATAAACAGTATATTTAAATGGCCAAGTGATAACAGCCTGTCAGGTTATATTTTCTATGGGACACCAAGTATGCTCTCTGGAAAACTATAAAATTTTTGGGATAAACTCAATCCACACTTCTGATGGTTTTTTTGGTTGTAAAAAAGGTTTGTACAACCTTTTTTACTTTCCAACAGGCCCCCAAATTCTTATGTGCTCTAGGGCCCTGGTATGGCCTTAGATGATATGTTAAATATCCTCTTGCTAGTACCACCACAACAGTATAAATCTTGAATCATATAAAGAATACATATGCATATATAAAAACCACATTCATTATTTTCATAGATAAGATATACATATATATAGATATCTCTCTTATAATTCTTAGTACTCCTATAACTTATATTATCCTATATAATTAACAATACATGCTTAAAATATGACCATTTCAGACTGGACAAGAAGAAATAAATATGCTAACCATACAAGATTTATATCTAAGGAATAAAGAAATATTTGATAAGGAACCAACAAGAATTTTAATGAACAATAAATTTCAAGTAGCACCATTTGATTTAATTCAAAATCACCAAGAAAAAGACCATAATTTATATGTCTGGTAAAAAGATACAAAATTTGATTTTTTCATAAACATGATTTCTTACATATAAACATAAACATGATTTCTTACATATTAACTAATAGTGTAGTATTGTACATGTATACATGGCTTAAAAAAATTACAGATTTAATATTATTTTGTTTTAAATTCCCTTTATTTCAACACTTTAGAGGGTTCATAGCCACTGGAGAGACTGAGTTGTTTTATATGTTAATGCCAGGGCAAAGCTGTAGTGTTCGAAACATAGAGAATTTAAAATTAAAATAAAACATGATATAATCCATAAAATATGTTTATTTAAAACTTTAAGATTATACTTTTAAAAAACACTTTTTTATCTTTACAGGAAAATAAATAATATAAATGTTGCCAGAATTTTCCGCCAAAAAATACCAAGAGCAAAAGTTGTGCCAAAATTTGGCCAAAGTACAGAAAGATATATTATCATTGATTCAAGTCAAAATGCATTTAACATACCTGATACAGAATGCAACTTTGCTTTCTTATTATCTTTAAGTGGCACTAGAACAGTCATGTTAAAACCAGCAGAAGAATGCAGACATCAATGTAAATTGTTAAAGGTTGAACTAAAGCAATCCTTGCTCTGTAAGTTATTACTTTTTATAGCATTTTAACAGCCTTTTACTACTACTACATTTTCCTTATAAATTACTAGATATAAATTGTCTCTAAAGTTTTTTGTTTAATTGTGTAAATAAGCTTTGTGTAACATAGATGGAAATGTAGATCTTATTTTTCCAGAATTTATTTTACAATGTAATGCAGTTGATTAAATATTGTTTTCAGTATGGTATAATTGGTGGTATTGGCGGCCAGTAATTCAAAAATCTAGTGGCAATCAAACCTTTGTGGCTCATGTTGGGTCCTATTGCTAAAAAGAAAGGATATTTGAAAAGGAAAACCCTATATGGAATGTACAAAACATCAATTTAATATTTGGCTAATACATAAATTATTTCAATAACAATATTAAATAAATTCACTAAAACAATTTCATTCAAATTTTTCCCTCAATTTCTGTTTAAGTAATACTGGAATAAGAGAAACAAAGGCAAATATTGTTAGGACTGTAACAGAGGTCCAAGACCAAGCATCGCTTGTAGATGTCAAAGTATGGAGTGTTTGTCCTGCTTGTATAGCAACAAAAGAGGGTGGAGCAACACCTGAAAGAATGAATTAAAAGATTACGTTAATAAATTTTAACAACTGATGTTGTTTACTTACGACTTACTTTTTACATAGTGATGTGCTTTAAATTAAAAAAAAATGAATTTGTTATGTTGAATATACTAATATGAACGCTAAAAAAACACCGGAGCTGAAGCGGTCGCCGTGACCGATAACGGTCAGGAAGTAGTAGTAGTAGTCAGATGAGAGCTGCACCAAACTGAACTGACAGGTACAGTCAAGTCAACAGTTAAAATTTTGATATATATGCTACTTTAAGAGAATAGTTGGTAATAGTTTTACCAGTATATTTACTTTAACAAGAATTATTGTTATAATGTGAGTAAATTTGCTGATTACACTTCATAAAGGGTCATTTTTGGACATTAATTATAAAATATTTTTACCTTTTCCATTAACAATCAAAACTTTAACAAATAAAATGTAATCAATAGATATTTGAAGTTAACTCTGTTAGATCATTTTTGGGTCACAGTGTGCAGTATATAAATCTATAGTGCACACAAGCACATAATTATGGTACACTTATTGTGGCAGATAAGCTCCCACCTGAATCCCAAGTGCATCTTTATTCGCCCAGTCAAAAAAGTGAAGTAACAACCTATACATGTCCCACTGCTGGGCAAAGGCCTCCTGTGTACAGAGGGTATCTGCTAAATGTTTTTTGGTATTTTTTTTCCAATGCAAATATAAGTAGTTTTAACAGTATACTTTTTACTGAAATGCATTTAAAAATTCTAAATTTATCTAAAAAAATATAAAGTAGAACCTACTTACCAATGAAAGTTCCCAAAGCAAAAGGTATTAATGGTACACCAATCACTGGTGCTGACATATTTATGAACCAATTTGGTAAAAATGGAGTGACTCTTAGGAAAATTATATAATTTAACAAATTATTTTTGTGTTTTGCCACTGCTTTAGACCATTTTGCTGCTCTTTCTGGAAAAAATTTCTTGACTAGTTTCTTCCCGAGGAGATTTGAGATAAAGAAGCACAAGCTGGCCCCAATTGCTGAACAGCAACAAACTAATAAGAGAGCTAAATAAAATGGAAACAAAAACCCTGAAAGAATGCTCAAGAAAATCGAACCCGGTATTGCAAATGTTTGCAAACTGATTAAGGTTGTTAAGGAATTATACATTAAATTCATCAATCATAATAGTTACAACTAGATGTGTTTGGCCTTGAAATAGAGCAAAGTAATAATTAAATATGAGCTCTTCTGTTTTCAAACTTTAAAAAAGTAGAAAGATAGGTAAGTGTCCCCATTTTTCAGTCTTCTTAAATTACATAATTTAAGTTGAAGCCTTTTTTTTAATCCACAAACACAAATAATGATTCAAATTTAACAGTAACACAGGTAATCAAGTAAATGATACATCAGCATATGATTTAATAAGAGGTAATAACACCATTACTAATAAATAATGGCTGTAAGTTAATAATGGCTGATGGAAGTTAAGACTGCATCTTTTTTTTTTTTACTTGTGTAATAATTAAAAGGATACAAAATATACACTAAAAAGACCCCTGTTATTACTTCATAAAAATATTTGTCCTTATATCGGTCTAAAACTAGACCTAAATGCTTGGCTTCTTCCAGATCCCATGGCAATTTTACAAATTGCTTTTCATGCCTAAAAAAATTAGGATAGTATTAGGAGTCCTTTGCTTTAAATGACTAATTCCCTGAAATTACTTACTGTTCTAATTCTGGAAATTGTTTGTAAAGAAATCCTAAAGTCAAAAGAGATGACCCAAATATTATGGCCACTAAGATTAAAGCATTAGAAGTTGATAAATTACTTATATTAGTGGTGGTTTTTGGATAAGATGAACCTGTAAAAACATGATATTTAAAAGGTCAAAGAGTTATTTCATCACTAAAAATATTTTCTAAAAAAGAATGACAGTATTGACAGTATTTTCTAAATAATCATTTTGTAAATTTCTAAATAATAAATAGGGAACAATAGAAAAGTGAAAATTATTTATTTATACTGAGATACTAAAAATAATTTCACAAGGTAAATAACAAAGGAGGATAGGAAATTGGTACTTGGAAAGGGATAGGTTAATCCTGAATATTCAAATTCTATACGGCTTATTCTTGGCTTTATGTTTGATACTTGGTTGTATGTAGTAGAAACCCTGGGATCTTGAATTTCACCTTTAACATCTGCGGTAGAGGGTCTCGAATTTTGATCAATGGTACTCATTTCTGCGACCTAAATAAAACAGTGTAACACTTGTCAAAGCCTGTCAAAAGTAATATAAAAAAATCAGGAATACTAGTTTGTCTTATATTCAGTTATAAATAATTGAATTTATTTTCTCGCACACTGTGTAAAAAATCTGAAATATAATTTTAAAATCGACGTCTAGATGACGTTTCTTTTATCAATTGTGATTGACATTATTGACAGAAAAAAATTGCGTTCCAAGTTTGCAATAATTAATAAATTATATATTATAGAAAAATGCAAACTATAAATCGAATAAATTTTTCATTATTAAATGTATTTAATCAATTAAGAATGATTAGATCATAAGTTAGAAATGCTTTATTTATTTAAATGTAAAAATAAATTATGTTTACAAATGTTGGCGTTAGATAGCGCTTTCGAACAAAAGCGGTAATTACAAAACTAACTACATAATATACAAACTAGTTACCTAACACGAATGTAATGTCTTAAATTATTCAGTCTGTAAATTATTCCTTAATGATTAAATTATGATATTAAAAATTAAGACGTGTGTTCGACATTTTTACCTGATTTTATAAATTTATATAAAGATAGATAAAACTGTATATAGGTACTCACTCTAGTATATTAGTAAAAAAGTTGCGTTTCGCATTGTGCTTAGTGGTTTTTAGAAGAGCCAAAACTTTCAACTCACTATTCTAACGAGAATCTATGATCCCGCCAAGCGCGCCTTGTGCCGAGTATACATCAGACTCAACCGCAGAGCAGAGTACATTATACTCGGAGTCGGAGACGTAAAACTGAATGTAAATTCAGTAAGAGTCGGACAGACCGTGTCGGAATCACGTTGCAGACGCATTGAATTTGTGCGTCCTCTTTATAACTTAAAAACTGATTTGTTTACGAAACTTAATATTGGATACGAAATTAATCGTCGGTTAAATAACTTTCATGGATTTCGTTACGTGATTGTGTTTTAATAATCATTTTATGTGGATAATACATGATTATGTGAAATTAGTGAAAGTTTGATAAATAATTACCGAGATGTGGTCCTTTGTGAACACATAGACTAGGTACATTCATGAAGTTAAGTGTTAAGGTAATAAAAAGTTTTTTAACTTTCATGGATATTAAAAAAAAATGTTATTTGCTTCTAAATAGTTAAGATACCATTTTACTTATGCTTTTTAAATTCATGTTTACTTTAATAAGATTCAAATTATGCCAATTCTTAGAGAAATATTATACGCGTTATACAATAACAATCACTCTTATTCTATGTCATATCGGTTTTTTATTAATTCTTATTAAAATTTTGGCAGATTTAAATGCATACTTATACAAATATTCATGTAGAAGATAAAATAAGGTGCAAACTACATTGTCTATATTTATTTAAGACTAGTTTTTTACCCGTGGCTTCGCCCGCGTTCAAGCTCTTAAATAAATATCTTTTTTTAGAAAGTATGTTTTTTTTAATAAGAAGAATCCATTTTAATGCCTCCCAGAATATTATATGTGTACACAGTTTCATAATAATCGATTTTGTAATTTTGGCTTAAAAGCGTCACAAACAAACTTAGGTACATTCACATCTATAATATTAGGTAGGGATATGATTTTTTTAGGGTTCCGTACCCCAAGGGTAAAATGGGACCCTATTACTAAGACTTCCCTGTCTGTCTATCTGTCCGTCTGTCACCAGGCTGTATCTCATGAACCGTGATAGTTAGCAAGGGCGTATCCAGGGGGAGGGTCATGGGGGTCATGACCCCACCCCCCTGGGCTGATTCTACGACCTAGGTGGACCACTAATTAAAATTGTTAAACATAATGTTTTAATATATTTTTTGCCACAATAAAGATTTTATGTAAGTACCTTCAATATTTAATTAAATTAATATAATATTTTAACCGACTTCAAAAAGAGGAGTTTCTCAATTCGATTGGTACATTTTTTTTTCGGTGTATGTACACCGATTACGTTGAGATTTATGATTCGATTTACGTGATTCTTGTTTAGTTTGATGTAGAATAATTGCCATTTGGTCCAATAAAATTTACCATAGTTTGGCCAAGTAGTTTTCATTTTATGAATATTTGTACAATATTTGAATTTTAAATCATCAAATCAATTCTTGCAAATAAAATTTGATCTATTTCCCGGTTACCGGTTGAGCTGAAATTTTGTATACATGTGTGTATCGCGAGACAATGCAATATTTTTATGACATGGTGCTGGTCTGATGATGGAGCTGGAAGGAAGGCCATAGGAACTTCGAATCAAACCACAGAGCCTCATCGCATTTAGGTAAATTTGAATAGTATTGACGAGTAGTTTGTCTTTCATTGGTAACCAGGATCTGATGATGGAGCTCCATCTTCAGCCGTCCATGGACATATGCATAAGGTTGCTGATGCGTTTTCTCCTTATAATAAAGTGGGCTTCAGCTACCTCACTCACCAGACAAATCGCAAAAGTACTTTACGCCGATCTTCCGAGGTTCCTATGACTACTCTGTAATGAAACGACTCAACCCCATCGAGTTTCGGCTCGTTTGATTCGTCTTGGCGAGTACTTAATTTTTAGATGGTTACCATTATCTGATGATGGAGCTGGAAGACAGTCATATGAACTCAGTAAAGAAACGAGGCAACCCTATTGTGTCTCGGCTCGTTTGATTCGCCATGACGAGTTCTTTGGTATTAGATGGTCTGATGACAGAGCTGGAATGTGGCCATAGGAACTCAGTAATTAAGGAACACAACTGCCTCGAGTTTGATTTGTCTTAATGGGTGGGTTTTTTATGGGTGGTGAGATGTGGTGGTTTAGTGGACGTGAGTATGAGGGACCATCTTTGGGAAATAAAGTTTTTGACTCGCGGTTTTTAATACATAAACTTTGTATGAAGAATAGAATACTATTTTTCGTTGAGATCATTTCATGCTACCTATTGCACTAATGAATTCTCACCGCCCCCAGCCGCCAAAAAGATACAGATGAACTGAGAACGGCCTCCTTTTTTGAAGTCGGTTGTAAAATGTTCCTCACAAGACACTATAGTGTCTTGTGAGGAACATTTTACTACGTATTGTTACTGTAAGAATGACGTTGAAACGTATTTTTATAAGATTACTTATCACGTTTTTACAAAGTAAAAAGATAAAATTATGTAGACAAATATGTAGACAAATTGTGTTAATATTCGAAAGTCGCAATTCTGAGCTATTTAGGAATCCTGCTCAACTGAAAGTTAGTTCGACAATTATAAGATTTTTACCGAACTGTTTATACTAACCAGGGGCGGATCTAGCAATTTCTGCAATAATTTAATAGGAATGAGAGGTTTCAATCAATTGATAAGATAAAAAGCCCGCAATTTCTTGCCGGTTCTTCTCTGGTCAGGTCTAATTTAGTGAACCGGTGGTATTTTTTGGCGTTCAATAAGAGCTTAAAATAAGCCTAGAAAAATAAACAATAAGTATGTTATGTATCATATTATTTATTTTTGTTGTTTATGCGAATACTATAAAAATACATGGTTAAATGAAAATTTTTGTCTGTCCCGTGACCATGAACGCTACAGAGCGTTCGAAACGCCGGGAATTTAAAATCAAAATAAAACATGATAAAATACGAAAAAATACTGTTTTGAATCATGTGAATATGCATCATATTTTTTTATATAATCCAAATTCAAACATCTTTATTCAATATAGAAGCATTACACCTACTTATTGATTGTCAAAACGCTACCACCGGTACAGTCAAAAAAGCCACTGACCTGACAAGAACCAGCGAAACTCAGGACGCAATAAAATAAAAGAACAGCGAAGCACCTTATCCATTGAGGCGTCGGTTAACTGCAGGTGATGCGAGTTGAAGTCCGATTGTGTCTGCTGGTCGCAACACTGGCCCTCGGCTGCGCTGAGGGTGCGGGGCTCTGCGAACGCGGCCGCAGCTGGTGGCACCGGAAAAGCGGCACCTGTCTCCCCTGCACCCGCTGCGACCCGGCGCACTTCGCGGTTAAGTACCCCTGCGAAGTGCACAGGGACACCGTGTGCCAGCCGCTTTACGAAGTGCGCATATTCCCATTCAACGTGCGACGGAGGAACAATGGCGGCGCGAGTGAGCAGTCCAGTGATTACGAGTATTACGAGTACTCGGACTACGGTGAAGTGACGGACGCCAGTGGCGAAGTGGTGTGGGACGTTCAGGCCTCGACCCTAGCGCTCGCGGTCGGCGGCTGTGTGGTGTTCTTCGTGGTGGTGCTGGTGCTGTCTTTGTACCACGCGAAGCAGTGGAGGGCCCTGAAGCAGGCGCTCAAGTCCGGTAAGAACTTAATACTGCTACTAGTCTCATCTGATTGTATAGCACGTTGAAGTGTATTTTTGTTAACAGGCCACCTATTACGATAAATGTACTCAAATAGTAAAACTGTACTGTTGTAATTAAATGAACAAAAAATTTCGACGCTGCGGGATTCAAACCTTCGAACCAGACGCTTTACCAACTAAGCTATGTGTTGTTTGACACAAGTTTGACTAACGCGAACGAACGTTGTGCCCCATAATAATATATCCTCGGTAACAGAGTAAACAAAGCTTACTTATATATGCCTTGATAGTAGCTATTAGATTGTGACAAGCATACCGTGTTCTTGTTAAGACTATTGAAATATGCCATTGTCTCAAAATTTAACATTATAGCTGTTATTTCGGTGTGTTAAAATCTGAATTTATCAGACGGGAATGTCTACGTTTTTGAAATATGCCATTGTCTCAACTTTAACAAATACAAAATTGAAATTCTGTTTTGATAACTTAGTACTGTTTATGGTCTTAATGGAAAAAAAACACTTTTACTCCACCCAAAACATTCGATGCTAGCCAAAAGGAATTACGGTGTAATTTTTTGGCTAGGCTCCATTGTGCATTATTAAACGATGTTGCATTAACAGCCCACGGACGTTCGTAAGGTACCACATACACGCTATAACGTTTATTTTTGTTACCTATGTACAAAAAAAAAACACTGTTTCTGAAACACTGATCACCGTAGAAGTTAACTAATCAGCTGTCAAATACATTTTCAAAAGTATTGTAAAACTCTCTGAATTTATTAGAATGATCTTCTTAATGAAAAGAATGATCAATTCAAAGAGTTTTTTTTTTTATGGGAAAAGTTGCCAAACGAGCATACGGTTCACCTGATGGTAAGTGAATACCGCCGCCCATGGACATCTGCTACACCTGAGGGTTACAGAGGCGTTGACAACTTTATGAAAATTGGGCTCCGGCTACCTCACTCACCAGACGAAACGCGAAAGTATTTGTCATACTTCCACTTTACGCTGGTCTTCTGTGAGGTCGTGGTACTGGCCTGGACGGGCCATTCATGCAACAGCCGAGAATGCTACGTGGCCCTACCACCGTAGAGTTTAACAATACTTTGGCAACAAATAACATTTGAAAAGCCATTTGACAGCTGATTAGTTGACATCTACGATGATCAGCTTTTCAGAAACCGGGCGATAGTCTGATATCAAACAACTAAGTATAGCTCGTGAAGAATTAAGCAATGTCAACCTATCCGCAAAGGTTTATTTTTGAAATAAATGTTATATATTATATAATGGAGAAGTATCGTGATACAGATAGCCTGCCCACCCAGATAACAGTAGGTACTGCTTAACTCTACCGTAATAGAAAATCGCTTCATTATAACAGTACATATTTTTCAGACATTGTGTACAATCCCCAAATACTGATATAATTTTATTTTAAGTTTCTTATACCATTGTCTCAACCTCCACGAAAAAACGGGACCGTTATACGGGATCACTTTCATGTCACATCCAATTTTTACAGTTACGTAACCAAATAATGACGTTATGGTAAAATCGTAATCGTAAATGGCAAAAATAAGTTTTGGATAAAACTTTTGTCAAATAATATTATATTATCATGAAACATATCATAAATGTTAGGGAGATTCAAACATAGTTTTCTTATTTGAAAATGCTGAATCTAAAAAAATGAGAAAAAAAAGAAATTTTTGGAAACCTAAAAATTATTTGCAGAGAGTAAACACATAAAAAGTAATTTGGGCTAGATTGAATTTTCCTCAATGAAAAGGTCTTATTCTCTCGCAATAAAGAATGAAAATGTCAAATTCACATGATATAGATACGAACTAACAGTGTCTCTAGCGGTTGTGAATATCTATAAACCTCAACAACGTTGCAAAGGAATTCCGATCCATTTCCAATCCGATATTCAGTTCCAAATAATGTACAAAAACGCCGACCGTCATCAACTGTCGCTAGTGATGGTACTTTATTTATTCAGGACATTGATGATTGCGCGACCTCCACGGATTGTGTACGAGCTAATGCGTGTAGGTAGGGCACGACGTAACGACACAAGGTGAATACCAAATAGATTGGACGATTGTAACTTGAAAACACACACATCGCTGTTGCTAAGCGTAGAGGACGATTTCACAACTTATAATCACTTAAGCTCGCTTTAGGTTGTAATTGTAAATTCGTAGACTTAACAGTTGATCAGAGAGAAACATGATTGCGACATATCCGTCTTGAATAACATTTTTATTGACGATAAAAAAACAGACTTCAAATAACGGATGTATCTCCGGAATCCAAGGTCCAATACCATAGAAATTAATATGGGACCACATGGGAGGTAAATCAAACCCAATGGAAAAAATAATTAAATTAGTTCACAAATGACAGGTTTCTGGGTTAAAAGACATAAAAAATTACTAAACTAAATTGAGAACCACCATTCATTATTATAGACTTCCAAAGTTCAGTTGCAGAAATATGTAACACTTTTTGGATATGGCTACGTATAATTACATACTCATAGATAACATGATTAAAATGAAGAATGAATTTATAACTTGCTGGTTTTATCAATAACGCTAAAATTAAGTACTAGTAATGCTCAATTTTCAGGTATAATAACATTCTAACACAGTACACATACTCGCCCGAGGAAAAACGACGGCGTGTTTTAACGTTTCGTCTGATTATAGAGTTATTCACCGGTATGAGGTATCCGGGGCACACTCTTGTAAAGTTTGGAAATGTATCTGCCACCTCACTTGTGTTGTAGCTGTCCATGGCAAGAGGTAATCACTCATAAAAACATTAGTAAGTAGTACTTACCTCTCCAAGTCTTATAATTAAAAATGTTAGATAAAAAAAGATTCTAAATAAATGTAGGTATTGTAAGATATAAATAGGTCTTAGCGATAAGAATTTATTTCCACGTTTACGTTTTTAATTGGTGCCTTATAGTATGTAAAGTCTATTAACGCACATGAATTAATTCATTAAAACACTAATTGAGGTCGCATGAATGAAGCCTCGAGGAAACTTTTACAAATAATGACAGACAGTATAATTATTTATAGCAGTATGTATGTGTTCAAACTTATTTAACGACAAATTTCTTTACGTTACTTCATTAATGGCAAAACTCGTAAAATATTTCGCCGCTGCCAGGAATCGAACCTGCACCTTCCGGATCTTTCCATTAGTCCAGACGCTCTTGCCACTAAGCTAAACGGCCCATGTCCTATATGTATAGTTACAATTTTGTAAATAATTGCGTGACTATAAACTGCTATTCTTCTTTCGTGTCGATAGTAAAACCTAATCAAACCGAACCAAAGTTTGACGGTAGGTAGTAATCCTGCCTCTTGCGCCAGAGGGTGTGGGCTCGATCACCACTACAGGAAAAATATTGTGTGATGAACGTAGTGCTTTTCCAGTGTCTGGGTGTTTATACATTTATAATATGTATTTATTTAAAAGAGAAGTTCATCAGTTATCTAGTACCCATAGTACAAGCGTTGCTTAGTTTGGGACTAGAAAACGTTTTGTAAGAATGTGCCCTGATATATTTATTTATTTATAATTCCGCCACGAGAACTGCACTGTCTGCAGCATTCATCAGATCCTGATGCGTGCAGTTGCTTTATTTGTCGCAATTTGGATAGGCAACTATTGCTGTGTCGAACTACTGTCAGGCAATCAGGCCAATGGTCCGTTCGTTCAAGGTAAAATCCATCATGTCCAATTATCTAATGCTCATTCCGTACTGATACTCCAAATTGCACTCATTGTTAGTAATAAATCTAGAATGGGTGTAATTGAAATGAGTACTCCCATTTGAATGTTTATTTGTTACCGACGTCCATTCATTTATTAATGAGCTATACCTAGATAAATTATACTTTTCGTAATTATGTAAAATGTATTTATAAGTTCGTCAAGTCTCTTTAAGAAATATCTTGGCAAATTCACGTAAGCGACAATTTTCCACAAACACCCTAAACGTAAATTAAATAAAAAAAACATACAAAAACCAGAACGAGGGAAGGAAATAAATTATACAGTAATAAACATATGTATATATTTTAGTTTCCACTTGAGTTTAATTAATGTTCAAAATCTTCCAATTGCCATGTAAAAATAGCCAGATGATTTTAGTTGCTAAAAGTGGTCTACGTATTTAGTTACAAAGCATTTAAATTCTCTACTGTGTGTTATATGAACATGTATACGCCACGTCAACAGGCGTTAAAAACACTACGCAGGTTAGAATCGATGAGAAATATTCCTAAACATATTCAGGGTTATCATAACAAGGTGTATTCATCCGCTATACCAATAAAAATTAGGTTAACTGAATTTTAAGTTTTAGGATGATTTTCTTCATGACGTTAGTGTAATCAAGGATTGTGGAGAGAAGAAAAGTGTAATCTCAGTTTAGCTAACAAAAATGTTTTCAGCTATTGTAGCATAACACCCTTCATTAATTCTGTTTATTACTGAACAAAATATTTTACAATTTCAATTTTGTGTACTGTACTTGTGATAGTTGCCATTCCGTGGGGCCTGCGTCTCAGCAGTGTGGAAGCCAAAGCGGAACTATCACGCTACAGTCTTTGTAAAATATTGTGAATGCTATCTGCAATATTTTTAGGGTTCCGTACTCAAAGGGTAAAACGGTACCCTATTATTAAGACTTCGCTATCAGTCAGTCTGTACGTCGGTCACCAGGCTGTATCTCAGGAACTGATAGTAAGAAAGTTGAAATTCTCACAGGTGATGCATTTCTGTTGCCGCTATAACAACAAATAACAGAATAACTAAATAACAATAAAAAATATTTAAGTTAGGCTCTCATAAAACATAGATACATATGATTTTTTTGCAGTTTTTTAGATAATGGTATGGAACCCGAGTCAAAATTGGCCGGATTTTTAAATTATTCGCATGTAGTCCGCCCATTCCCACCAATGAAATATTTGAATCGTGGCGATCCCGATAAAAGGCATCGAAGATTTTTTTAGCTAAGTTAGCGTTTAGGATGGAATGTCACTGGCGCAATGCATGTGCAAGAGGAAGGTTTATGTGTAAGAAACTCAGACTTGTAAAGTGATGTCGTAACATATTTTTGTGCGTTTACAATACAAATGCTGGCTAAATCTTACAAGATATATCAAATGAATGAATGAATAAATATTGCAGGCACCGTGCTAAAAAAATACATTAAAAATGACAATTACTACCCCGTGCGAAGCCGGGGCGGACGCTAGTTATATGTTATATATAATAAAAGTCATTCACAAATCTCTGGGTAGTTCGAATAGTTGCTACAAACTTTGTTCTTGGTGTTTGAGGAACTCGGTGACGCTTTTTGGGCGTTATTGAAAAGGACTCCAGTATAAGGGAGTTATCAAAATTGGACAAATCACTTCTGCCTCTCTAGAAGTGAATCGTCCTTACTGAAAGCTATACTAGCCGTAACCGGATGCTTTAGACTTGCTTTTTATCCTTCTTCTACTTAAAGTGTGATAACCAATCTGTCCGATTATAGATAGACTTTTGAGAGTGCAAAAAACATTGCGCGAAAAAGATTCTTACACAGATCCATTTTGAAATAAACTCAGTTTGTTTAAAGTGGAGAGAATTTTGTAATTGTAACTTTGCAAATAGACGTATACTCAAAACCATTATATACCGGGCAATTGTTTCATAGAATGGTGTGGTAAACCTACAGGATGCTATTGTACTGTAGAAATAGATAATGGATTAATTTAATTGCAGATTAACTGTCTATCAATCACTTATACGGTGCTCCGTTCAAGTTATTGTAATTTTTATGTACTCTATATATCTATTTGATGTAGAAGTTTTTCGTACGACCGGGTGAGAGTTTTCATTCAAACAGTGGAACCATAAATCTAGGTGGGGCCGGCTCCGTGAAGGCGCGCCGGGGCTCACGTAAACAATGTGGGTTTGTTTGAACATGTGCACTACTAATTTTGACCTGCGCGGACCGCCTCACAATAGCTAACGGTTGTTGTTTTCGTATTCGTTCGCGTCGAATTCGAAACGGCATTGTTTACGGTCTGGCTTGTACAATTAACGGGTAACAATTATTGTATTATTATTCATTTGTTCACAGCTGCTGTGGTTTCCAATACCTTATGCAGTGTTAGGAGTTCATAATTATATTTTCGATTTCGTCTTTTAAGGTTTAGGAACATTTAAAATAGAAATGTCTGATTTGTTTACATTAGCCTCGAATATGTTCATATAGAAGGCAGATTTTTTTGAAAGGCTAAACAATCATATAACTTGGAACATATTTTGTTTTATTTAATTTCTTTTAATTTATTTCGCGTATTTTGTTTTGTACCTACTTAAAATTTTCTTTACTCACTAATTCCAGGGTTGACTGGAAGAGAATGCTTATTAGCACTAAGATAGCCTTTTGTTTTACCTTAAGTTGGAGTGTCAACAATACATTTTTAAATAATTAAATAAATAAAAATTAAAATATATTAAAAGTTAAAACCAATACAATTAAGTTATTAAAGTATTCGGAAACTCAAAATTTATCAAGTTGAAGTGAACAGATCAAAGAAAAGTAATATTATTATTTTTATTATATAAAAACGTAATACTGATATCCATAATATAGATATAGCATACAAACGTCTGGGACCAATTTTTAGTGTAAATAAAGCCCAGAACCTATTCTTGGGATCAAGGAATCCTGTTTAACTAGCTATTTTAAATAATTACTTACGCTATGATAATTCGATAATAATACTCGAAAACTGTAAACCACCATGTGGTTAATGTATCAATATTGTACTTAATATAAAAACTTAAAATTTGTAACCATCTTTCGCCCATTACCCACTAAACTAGTTAATAAAGATAACTGCAACCAGTCCACGTGTCACTGCAATTAACGCAAAATGGTATACAATTTGAAATCATAAATAGATTCCAATAAATTTAAAATATTACTATTATTAGAATTTATAGATAAAAGCACGAAAAGTCTTTCGCCACTGTAGGAATCGAACCCACGTCTTCGGGATTCGCGCCCTGACGCTTTAGCCACTAAGCTAAACGGCTCATTGCCACACCGACGAAAATCTCAACGTCTTTTATCTACATTGTTCTTTAGCATTTGAAGCAACGCTTGGCGCATCCATTGTTATATCCTTTCCAGCATACAAACAATTTCGAATATCGTTTAACAACGATAATTCGAACGAGAGATGTAGACATTAAAGTAATTTTATTTGTTCTTTGATGAAATAGGTTACTCAATTCTCTTAACAATTGTCTTAAAACGGTTACGCACTATTAAACTCCTTATATGAATGTCAATCCAAAATATTTACGCTTCATAATCTTATTTGCTTATTAAACGCATCAACTCGGTTACTACTAAATGTTTACATGTCCTACAAAGTAACTTTTAGTCCGAGGCAATGTTGTACTTTGAGAGATATATTATATATACATAATACTAGCTGAGCCGGCAAACGTTGTTTTGCCATATAAAATTATTTGTAAGGTTGAAAAAAATGTTTGGGGTGGACCACCCTTAACATTTAGGGGGATGAAAAATAGATGTTGTCCGATTCTCCACCCTGGCCGATATGCCCACAAAATTTCACGAAAATCGGTCGAGCCGTTTCGGAGGAGTTCAATAACAAACACCGTGACACGAGAATTTTATATATTAGATATACATTATATTCTACCTATATGTATAACAAACTCTACGCTGAGATCGTAAAATAGGCAGGACACATATATATATACAGCGTGTCGTTACCATCGCGACAATAAATGAACACACATATAGGGGATAACTTTTTAAAGTAGTATTAAACATTTAAATTCTTTAAACATCAATATTTACAGAGTTATAAAATTTTCCAAAACAAAGAATTTTAGAACACTTTTTTACTTAATTAGTTTTGTTTGAAAAATATACGTTATTAACGTTAAACGTTAAACAAAATCCATAATTAAAAAAAAAATATTTTTCATACAAACTAATTAAGTAAAAAAGAAACAAAATTTGTAACATCCTATACAACTCGCGCCACAGCGTCGTATTACAAGCCTCTCCTTCTAACAGTATGTTTTGTCTCTTTTAAATTCATTCAACCCATTCATATGCTGTGTGACCTTTACAAATGAACTTTACGTTACGCTTTTATAGGTAAGGGTGTTCTAAAATTCTTTGTTTTGGAAAATTTAATAACTCCTTAAATATTGATGTTTAAATAATGTAAAAGTTTAATACAACTTTAAAAAGTTATCCCCTATATGTGTGTTCATTTATTGTCGTGATGGTAACGACACGCTGTATATACTTTACGCGAGGTTCCAGTATTACTTGTGGAATTGATGTATCAAATTGAATATTGATCAAATAAATATGATAAATAATATGATGAATATGATAAGAAAAAAATATTTGATAAATGAAAACATTGAACCAAGGACTTTACCCAACAATAATTCTGTGCTATTTAACATTACCACTAATAATGACATCAGGCGCTCATGACGTCACCGTACCGATACGATCATTTCACGCAGACACACCAATAACTAATAACACAATAAAACTTGCAGATGTGCAAGACCTGTCAGCAAAGCTGAAACTGATGGAGTCGGGCGGCGAGAGCCCGACGGAACAAATAATGCCAACGGACCACCATATCTACTGTAATATACACGTGGGCAAAGAAGCACTACTTGGTAAGTCTCATTTAAACTTTTCACACAATACATAACAAGTGTATTAATAAACTAAAGTTCATACTATTAATAATTATCTAGTAGAATTTATTTAATATTTATTCATCTAATATTTACGAGATTAAATCTATCTAAAATTAAATATTATCTAATAAACCTACGCCACGCGGCATGGTGCCAAGAAATTTTGCTATTTTATTATATTTTTTGATTGAATACTGAGTCTTAAGAAGCCATCGCATATGATAGTATTGTTGAATAATGTGTGGCTTATTAAACACATTCATAGAATGTTTGAAAACCGTTGTGATCTCATCAGGCAACTAAAATTCTTTACCCTCGATGACATGTACTGTAAAAAAGCATACAAATCGAAAAACAACAAACTTGCGGCTATCATAATAACTTGTTTTAAATTAATTTATGAAAAATGAAGCGATCCGACCCGAATTATTCCGGCCAACACGGGTAGCACAAATTGTCCAAAAAAATTTGTTGAAACAATCGCTTCAAAGGGTCACCGAGGCTAATCTGAAGAATGCTTGAAAATTTCATCTAAATCGGTCCGTTTTCAATATCCCGAGTCCATAGGGATCAAGCAAACAATGATTTTTATATATGTATTTTGATTTTATTTAGTAAACAGGTCGTTCATGGGGCAAAGTGTGCGCATGTATAATAAAATCCCACAGTAGATATTAAGTCTGCCACTTGATGAATTTAAACGAAAAGTTAAAAGTGAACTTATGGCTAAAGCTTATTATACTATTGCTGAATATCTTGACGACGCGATGTGTGGGGTTAATACTGTTGATACTCACGTAGGCTAAAACAAGACTATTATACCTGTAACATCATATTGTAAACTGACCTTTTAAAAAAGAGCAACTGTTGAGTTTCTTGCCGGTTTCTTCTCAACAGAAACTGCTTTCAGAATCGGTGATAACTTACGAACATATTAATTTCCTTGTAAAATTTCGACGTTTCATAAGAACGCGCAAGCGTCTATGTGAATAAAGATATTTTATTATTTATTATTATGTAGGTAGCGATCACCTCCTTTGAAGATATAAGTTATCTAACACGGTTAGATTACGACACAGAAATTCATTAGGTCCCCATTATGGCAATATGAACGTTAGACGTAGACTAACTCCGAGGCTCCCTTTTATGTGACGGATCAAAGAAGCGAAGGGTCCAAAAAAAAGACATCAATCCAAACTGTTAACCGAATCGAACGGTGAAAGTGTCATTATTGTAAACCTTAAAATGGAATGTTTACGACACCGCGTCCGTAACGAACCCGGGGCGCGGAGAGGGTTCCCCTGGCGCTGGCAACTTGCCAAACGTTTGGCCGAGCGCGTGGGCGACTGACGGGCGTCTGGCCACCTTTGTCCAGGGGTCACGTTCCCAACGCCTCGTTCCCGTTTATTTAGGTGTGACCGCCCAGAGAAGTGACGATCGCTCTTCGACTTACGTATAAAAGCTATACCAGGTGGTGGACCCAGCCACGCTGCCCTGCATCTTCTTCTATCGTTTCCGTTTGAACTTCGGAAAAAAAAAATATAAAAACACTCGCCTGTTCAATAGCTATGTTATGAACTTGAGTTTTTTGGAAACAAACAATGTAATATAACAAACAAAAGTTCTCTTTAAACAATGACGTCAGACAGAACCGCGTAATGTCTTTGAACCTCTTTATCGTATATTTCGGCTCTGTGCTATGAGACTCTTAATATAACAGTAAATCATAAATCTCATAATACCTCAACTTTAGCCAAGGACACGAGTTCTCATCCATTGTGAACGCTTGCGCCGATGACTATACCCGATACGGTTAGTATTGTCGGTACCCAACTAGCTCTTAATCCGTGTCACTCGTCTCAAAAATTCCCATATTAGGAATATATATATATATATATATATATATATATATATATATATATATATATATATGTGTGTTTCTCAAAGGTTACAGAGATGAACACAATTTTTCGTCACATCTCATCCGACATCAGACCCAACTCCGATATACATATAGATGGGAACATAATATATACACTACACAGAAATAATTAAGATAGCGTAGACCAGTGATTCTCAACCTTTTTTTTGTTGCGGCACATATTTAACGATTTCAAAATTTGGCGACAGACAAAAAAAAAGATAAAAATTATTTACTTACTACAACACACTGCATAAATAGTTTATGACAAAAATTTTAAATATACGAAATAAACTAATATATACTACAATAATAACTAAACGTTTATTAAGGGATTAATTACAAAATTAATAATAAAAATATTTTTAATGCGAAATTTGAGCTTTATGTTTTTTGATAATTTCATTTATATTTGGTCGTAAAAATGACAATGCTACTCTCATATCGTCTTCTACATTTACCAATCTTGATCTTTTTTTAGTTTTAATGTTGGCTAGTGCCAAAAAATATTTTTCTTTTTAAATGATATAATTTAATAATATTAACATTATTATATATTTGCAAAATTTGGCGGCACACTTTTGAAATTTGGCGGCACTCAAAAGTGCCGCGGCACAGAGGTTGAGAATCACTGGCGTAGACAATATGTGTGTTTGAACGAATCTGACAGCTGACTTTATAAAACCGCTGCAAAGAGATCGCCAAAGCATCTTCTCGCCGAAGAGTTCGCGAAACATACATCCTTAGTCTTCTTATTATTACCACATATTGTGAAACCAAACCAAGTGACCCTCATTAACAAGGTTTGGCCTTGTAAGCCACAGTCAGGCACACAAGCAACGTACATAAAGCCAAGTTCAGCGTTATCGGATAAAATAGCAATAAGTCCTTGGAGCTGAACTTAGTAAATAAAAGATTTTATTGCCAGTTGAGTATTAATTCAGGACTTATTTCACATCCTACTGTAGGTATTTAATAAGAATACAACATAATTCTGTGTATTCACGGGTAAGGGTATAGTTTACCACAACAGAACATATCCTTGTAAGGGAATATTAATAATATAAGCCCCCACACTAGCTTAAATTGTGTAATATACATAATATGTACGATTAAAGTTCTTTATTTTATACATATAATATATGTATAAAATAAAGAAGTGTAATCGTAACTTAATTATAAACGTTTAATAATGTTAATCCTGTTAGGGACAAAATATCTTGATTATTTTCTTTGATTATGAATATAATCAAACATCAGTTCAAAAACGTTCTTGCGTAACTTCCTCATTGACGCAGGCGAGGAAGAGGTCAGAAGTATTCCGGACCCACCGGGAGCACGATAAAACTACACACGCAATGATAGACGACAACGGCAAAATCAACACAAAGCACACCGGATCCAGGGCAGTTCTCACCGCCCCCAGCCAACGATTAATTCAGTCGACGGCCATCGGAGCCATGGTCCGTAGTGGACTATGGCCCGTAGGTGACATATTTCCCGCTTAAGATAAAACACGCATGACCACATGCGCGGCCCTAACCAACATGGAATGCCTAATCACGCTCTACATGTGATGACACTCACTACACTGAAATCAAAAGGCTGGCAACATGAAAAATCTTCCCCGTCTAACAATCTTTACGGTGTAGGAGTTTTCATAAATATCCCTCGCCATCATATGACATCTTTACAAAACATAAACTCTATTGCGTTACAGCATATATGACGATACGTTCTAAAATTTATTTTCATTCTTTAAAAAAAAACGTTGCCCTTACTTTAGGATAACATTATCCTGTGTTGTAAGGACGTTTTATAAACATAAATTTCAAGTGAACAAACACTCAGATGCGAAACAACTCTATGTGGGTCACACAAACATTTGTTCCGTGTGGGAATCGAACCCACGACCCTCGACGCCGAAGCCAATACCATGCAACTATGCCACGGAGTCATCACGGCCAGTTCAATTATTGTGTCATACCGGCGCCTCATACGATTAGTTATAAGGCATCTTGCGATAACCTTCACCCACTGAACAAATCGGCGTCCGTAATTAAGACGTCTAGTTGGTCCGCTTGGCAGACGCGATGCCATACAGAGCTCGTTGAGAGCGTACCCGATTATACCAAAGGACGTTCCCAAGGTCAGAGCGCCTCCTAATCGGGATTACATGCAATACAATCGCACAAACACACGCGCAGTTCTCTAATAGTTATACATTATAACAGCTTCGTCCAATGTTTGAAACAAGGAACACATAAATTATACGCGATAACAATAAATAAGTATGTAAGTATGTATTAATCATTCGTATCACGTTTACATTCATGGTAATTTAACAATGGAGTAAACAATATAATAAATTTAAAAATTTCCCTTTATCGCTTTCTAGGAAGTTTTTAAACTAATTAGGAAAGATTGCTATGTGGATAGAAAAGAGTTTTATACATAATATAAGTGGAAGTATTATTCACAAATCTGCACTCTTCTGAAATAACGAAAGGCTTTGATTAGGCCTTCGAAATAGGCTATAATTATACAACAAAATTGTTTTCATTCAGATTTTATATTAAAATAATCAATAAATAATATGATATAATTAATAAAGATATATCCGAGGTCATCTACGATCTTTCTAAAGCATACAAATAACAGTATTTTAGATAAGAAAGATTATTTTTCCAATCAGAGGTAAGATCAGAGTAATTGCAGAACACAATAAAGCTAACTCGTTTTTGGAGCAATGAACCGGACTTAGCCTCCGTATCAAATTTACTGTGATTCTATGTCTATTTTTTTCAGACATTTCAACTTGAAAGGCTCAGGTAGAGCCTTAAATCTGCAATTACTTCGAAATTCGATCCATCGGCATGACCATTTGTATACAATTCAAAAATCGAAAAAAGTTGATGGACACAAAAATAATTTTCTGATATGGAAGAGTTAATGAAGATCGAATATTTAATAGAGAATATAGAATTTAGAATGAATAATATATTCTCTACAAATATCTAGAATATTTCAAAAGAAATACTTAATAAATAAATTG